GAAAGAGACCCCACCTCCACTATCAGAGAAGGGGCTGGCTCCCCCTCATTTGAATCCTCCTTCCTCTACCTTGTCAACATTCAAGTCCAACCCCTCCACTGGAACTACCTGGAGGCTGGCCCCTGCCAGAATGGCCCGGCTGGAGCTTAGGGGACTTGCTCTTTCTCCTTCCACCAGGGGTGCCCCCAGGGAAAGTGGACGCTGGCCCGCTGTGGCTGCCCTGTGGTCCTCACAGCCAGTACTCTCAGGAGACCTGGCGGGGTCGTGGGTTACACCTTGGGCCAGTCACCGTGAAGGTCAGCAGTCCAGAAACCTCCTTGCTCCTCTGGAGAAAGGAGAGGCTCTGCTCCCATACAGAGTTAACACTCAGACACCGGACGGTGTCAGATAGGGAGATGATAATAATTCACAATTTATCAAGAGCTCAGGAGGATGGGAGGGTGGGGGAAGAGATGGGGGGCAAGAGAAGCTGATACCAAGGGCTCAAGTAGAAATAGCATGTTTTGAAAAGGATGATGCTTGACACAGTGGATGGATGGATTGTTTCAAAAGCTGTTTAAGAGCCCCCAATAAAATGATTTATTTTTAAAAAAATAATAGCTACCGTCTCGGAAACCCACAGGGGCCAGCTCTACCCCATCCTATAGGGTCACTGTGGGTCAGAATTGACAGTGGAGGCAGACATGAGTCACTATCTAGCTTCAGGAGCCGCAGGTCATGAAGCCCTGGACAGGTGACTCACTACCCTCAGGTGCTCCTCACCGCGGGGTCTGATTACACACACACACACACACACACACACACACACACACTGGCCTCGGAAGCTGAGCCTGCAGGCCTGCTTCCTTGAAACCACTGAGGATCCGTGGGAGGCCGGCTCCCCCAGCGCGGTGATTCCGTTCTGAGTACTCCGGGCTCCTCAGCTTTGCTGCAGCCAGGCCGGCCTGTGAGAAGCAGCATCTTTCCCAGTAAAACGGGGTTTGTTGTTCTAAAGACTCCGCGCTTTTCACAGCCCAGCAGGCTGTAACGCTAATATTTACCCAAATGCTGGGACACACGCACACCCCCGTGCAATGGGCGGATTACCCCATGTACCGCCCTGGAAATCGGGCCGGCCTTTCCCCCTTACCCGCCCACCCTCCTCCCTAAGACCCCGACACGGAGCTTTGGAGGTCGCCTGGGCGTCTCTGATTATTTGCATCGATGACCCTGGGGCAAAATTCTTGGGTCATCGCTGGAGGACGGGCCTCGGGAGGGGGAGGGGGAAGGGAGTCGTGGCCAGGCCGGGGGAGGAGCGACAAGCTAACCCTAACCTCCACACCCCCACTCTCACTGGGCTGCAGCGCTCTAATCTGGGGCCACCGGACTGGGCCGCCTCCCTGGTGATAGCGACGCCGGCCTGGGCAGCGTGGCGACAGAGAGACGCAGCGGGGGGAGGGGGGGGGGGGGACAGTAACCACCACCACCACACCACCACCACCACCCCCGCCCCCCTGCCGGCTTGGCCATCCCCAGAGCTTAGCCAAATTGTTTTGACGGCCTGGGACAGCATAGAGACAGCAGTGCGAGGGCGATCTAATGGCTCTTAATTCCATGAGGGTGTGCAGAGAGCCCCAGGTCAGGAGCGGGAAACATGAGGCCTTCGGGAGTCATGTCTGCTCAGAGGACCTGACCCCCCACCCCGGCTTGGAAGGGCCTGAAACTGGCAAGGGGGGTGATCCCACTGGGTTGAGAGTTGGGGAAGAGGTGAGCACCTGCTCCAAGGTTTTTCCCAGCACAGGGAGTCCTGGGGCAGCATCATGGGGGTTGAAGCCTGTCTCATTTCCTGGCGCCAAGGTCTCCCAGAGCTCCCAGGATCCAAAGCAGGCCAGCATCAGACCTTCTTTCTGGCCTGCACTTACACCTAACACACAGGCTCAGCACTAACAGGTTGCCCCCTCTACCCACCAGCCCCCGCCCCCTCACACATACACCTCAGCCCCCACTTCACCAATCAGCAGCCCACATCAGCCCCAGAGGTCTCTGAACTACGGGAAATGGGAGGAACATTCCAGCAACTTGGCTTGAACAGGACGGAGGCTGGCCTTTCCACACTCTGGGCTCAATATGCACAGCCATGGCTGTGCGGACTCCTCTCCCTGAAGCTAAGCTAAATCATCCAGTCACTCACCACCAACCAGGCCCCCACCACCACCACCACCACCACAGCAGGTGTCTGATTTGCATCTTCCCCAGGTCCAATCTGCTGCCCCAACTTGAGGACCTATGTCTGCTGCGGGCTTGGTTTCTCTCTGGAAAAGGCAGCAGCTTGCTGAGAGCCAGTCAGGGGAACCACTTTGGGAAATTGGACATGGTCTCAAGTCCCTGAGGCCAGTCCCCACCCTGCTGGAACTGCCGCTGACCAGGCAAGGCCTGAGTGGTGCTTGTCCCCTCTAGGCTGCTTAGAGAAGCAAAGGAGGAGGAGCCATCAAGCCCACCAGGGATGTGGGGTGTGTGTGTGTGTGTGTGTGTGTGTGTGTGTGTGTGTGTGTGTGTGTGTACAAAATGTGTAAGGGGAAAAATTCCATCATCTTTCATTCCATTTTTCCACAGAATTCTTGAGGTCCCCTATTCTGGGGGGCTCATCCCCCTAAGGAGGTTTTAGACATTGGATCTGAGGGACAGTGCTTTTCCTCGTCATTGTTGCTGAGAGAGTGACTTGGGAATAGTTTCCCAAAACCAAACCAACTAATTGCTGTTGAGGAACTAGTGCATATCTCCATTCATATTTTTTGGTGGGGGGCAGGGGATAGGGTAGGATGCAGCAGGAAAGATGGAACCCTATCTTAGGGGAGGAGGAGGTTGTACACTTAGCACACGACTCTCTCTTTCACACACACACACACACACACACACACACACACACACACACCAATGTGTCTGCAACTCTCCTCTACAGCCTCTCTCTTGAGCCCAATCTAAACTCAACATTGAGGGCCCTGGTCTAGGCTTGCCTGAACTGATCCTGGTGGTGGGATAAAGGAGGCTGGATGCTGTGGGGGAAATGGTCAGAACTAAAAGGGCATGCTGGCCGCAGAGTTCTCTTCACGGAGGTTGATGCAAAAGAGAGGATGGGTGCCCTGTGGGGTCTCTCCCAATAGTAAGGCAGGGTTTGCAAGAAGGGGTGAGGGTTCTGGTGATGCTTTTCGGGCACACCTCTGTCTGCAGCCTGTGCTGACCATTCGTTGGCCTGGACGGTCTGTTTTCCACAGTCCCTCCTCCCCAATCGCAGATGGGGCTGGGGCACAGGGCCGTGAGGTGGGCAGCACCAAGTCACCCCTGAAAACCTCCCCTTCAACAAAGGGTTCACAGCAGGGACGCTGGGACACTGTCCAGGAGAGCTGTCCCTGTCTTCCAGCCAGCAGGGGAAGCGCCAAAGAACCGGACAGTGACTTAGGGACCCGTGTCCGGCAGGGAGGCCGGAGCAATCAGAAGAAAGGGAAACCTGAATCGGATGGTGAGAGAAACGACAGAAAGGGAAAGACAGACTTGGGGGCAAAGGGAGAGAACGAAAAGGCCGAAGCGAGAGGCGGAGGAGAGAGGACTTGCGCAGAGATGGAGCCAGGAACGAGAGAAACAAAGAGGGAAAGGAAACCGGGGCGAAGAAGTGGAGGGGGGCGAGGCGCTGGGGAAGACGCGGAGTGGGCGGTGCGCGCGCCGCGCGGAAGCTCCCGGTACTTACGTGCCCAAACGGGTCCAGGTGGTTGTTGGTGAGCTTGAGCTTCTGAAAAGAGACCAACTGCCGCATCCAGTGCGCCCCGGTGGCCGGCGAGTCTGGGTGCACGTAGAGGCGGCCCGGCATGGCGGGCTCCGCTTTGCCGGTCACAGACCTGGGCCAAGGAGAGATGTGACCACCAGCCGGCGCGACCTGGAGTTTGTGCTCCGCCGCGCGGCCGGCTTGGGCCTGCTTGGGTCCCCTCAAAGCCCGGTGCCAGAGACCAGGCAGCCCGGACCCGGTGCCTGTTGCTTCCGCCTCATTCGACAGCTGAGCGGGAGCACCCCCTGAAAGTCCTGCAGCCTCTGGCTGCTGAGGAATGATGTGGATCCTGGGAGCCTCTGCAAAAAGACTTGAGCCCTCGGAGCAGCCAGGGGAGCAGCGAACGAACAGAGCAACGGCTCTCTCCTTTCTTTCCCTTTTGAATTCCAATGCCACGGGCCATTTTGCTATTTCATAAACGGGCGCATTCAAAGCAGGTCGCTCGTAAAAAATAACTATAAATGGCTTTAAGCCCCCAGAAAAATACCTCCAGTGACTGGTAACAATACCTTACCAAAAAAAAAATCCCTCACGACCTGTGGGCCTGATATGTATAACCACTTCGCTTTCCCAGAGCCTCCGTTTTCTCATCCAGAAAAAGGGAAGTAAACGAAAACCTCCTCTCCCTTCACCTTAATACTGCCAGGAAAACTCTGCGACTAACGTCTGGCCAACAAGTCCATTCTCCAGCAGAGTGGAGTCGCTCACTAGGGTTTCCGAGGCTGTAAACCCTCCTGGGAGCGCAAAGCCTCCTCTTTCACTCAAGGAGCAGCCTGTAGGTTCCAAAGGCTGACTTTGTCGTTAGCAGTGCAATGCCTACCCAGCCTGCTGGGGCATGGGAACTCCTGGTGCCAAGATTAGGATCATAGAAGCCTCCAGCGCACAGCAAAGGCTAACAATAGGTTGGAAAGCGGTAGCTGGGTGGCCACTTTGCCCCCTCTACCCTTCTCCCCTGCCCTCAGTCGCTTACCATTTATTATCCGCGAACTTGTATCTGTGGTCGTCGGCGGGAACGATGTCCATGAGGAGAATGTACTTGGTTTTGGGATTAAGACCTGTCGCCTTCACTTTGTAGCTTGGGAACATCCGCCTAGGATGAAGGGCGGAAGGGAGAAGGGGAAAGGGTAAGGGGCCCTGTTACTGCCAATATTCGGACACGCGGGCCCCGCGGATTCGAAGGAAAGTTGGTTGCGGAAGGCTAACTGGTTGTACCCGCTCCGCGCGAGCGTCCAGATCCATCTCGGGTTTCCCCGTTAGTTGCGGGGTGGCGGAAAGGGAGCGGAGGAGAAAGAGCGAGGCAGGCGGAAAATGGAAACCAGGAGGCGAGCGCTTGGAGAGAAGCGGTTGTGGGGACCATCCACGTTTCCTTCTTGTTTTTTTGGCCAGAACCAGGCACCTACGTTGGGGTGAATGGGGCTTATTAGGTACAAAGTAACCACCCTTTGGACCCTGCCAGGGGCGTTGGGCCTTCCCAAGGGTGTCAGGGCCACACCCAGGTGTGCGCGGCCTGTGGAGACGCGCTCAAGACGGCACGTGCGTGGGTGACCACGCCTCTGGCCAGAGCTTGAGGACCCTTGCTTCCCAAGGTCCAGATCGGTGACTGGAGTTTCTTTCTAAACGTTCCAACTTCCGCCTGGAAGCCTGGCACGCTTCCTGGTCAAGAAATTGCCAACCCATCCGGAGTGGGGGACCGGAGGCGCTGAGCCCTGAACGAGGATCCGGTGGGTGGAAAGGCCGTGCTGCGCTCATTCCCGCGTTTTCTACAGTGCACAGGCGCCTTTCCAAGTCCCAGCCCGCTCGAAGCCCGCGCCTGGGAAAGTAGGGCTCCGCAGGGCTGGCCAAGGAGTGGAAGGATTCATCCCCAGGGCTTGGCTCACTCCGAGATGGCGGGACGGGGCGCGTGGAGGCCTCTCTCCCTTGAGCCACGCCGTATTTACTGCCAGGCGCGCCTGGAGGCGGAGGCGCAGGCGGCTGCGCAGGCCTTTTATAGTGAAATCCTCTCCGCTCAGACTGCGGCTGGGGAGAGACCGGCCTGGTGTTTCGTTCCTTGGCGAACGGGGCAGAAGCCTTCCATTCGCTGGTGTAAACAGTCGCGCCTCCTCGTTCATCAGGCCTCGAGGCGGGGGTGGAGGGGAGCCGACTTTGTTTAATTTTGAATAATAATAAATGTCACTGTTGCACCTTTACTGCCAGAGGCTTTGGCTGGAGAGAAGGGGGGCAGCTGGTGAAATGGCTTCTATCTCCCTATTCACACAGCCGGAGACCCAACCCTATCGGCCTGTCCCTTCGCTGGTCCTGCGGGAAGGACCTGGACTCTAGGTCTTCCAAGACACAGAGGGCCAGATGGGGCCAGTAAGGCCCCCAGGCCCTAGACGCACACTCGGCGAGCGCGTATACACACACACACTTTGTGAGCGGCACCAGTGGACACACACACACACCCCACCCCTTAGTGAAACATTGGGAGCTAGAAGCTTCCAGCGTTTAAGAGGAACTTCGGCGAGAATCCTGGCGAAGCCGCGTGTTTATCGGTGTCTGTATATAGAGCCCGGCTGAGCCCCGGTTCAGTTTCAAAGGCTCCGCCTGCTTTCTATAAACAATGAAAGAGGTAGCGAATACAGTCCGAGTTTGACCGTGGACGGGTGGGACGCTGGAACCGGTCCAAGGTCGCCGAGGGCAGGAAGCTTAGTAAGCAGGGACGGCAGTGAAGAACCAGGCGTGAGACTCCTTGAAGCCCAAAGCCGATGCGGCTCCAGGTCTTCTCTGAGCTGGTCCATTCCCCTTCAGTCTCCCCCTCCCCCGCCACGTCTCTCTCAGCTCTCTTTCTCTCCTTACCAGTCTGCACCGGAGTGTTGCCAACCCCACCTCACCCAGCCACTTTCTCCGGTCACTCCACAACTGGAAAGCCCAAGTTTCAGAAGTTGAGTTTCCCTAATTCACCCACCTGCTTGAGACGGATGGGGTAGGGGGGTGGGGTGGGGGAAGGACTGTGTTTTTCCAACAAGAACTGAATCCAACCAACTGCTACCCCCTCCCCCCCTCTCTCCAGCCCTGTGCTTCAGGCTCGCTCTCTCTTCCTCCTTCCTACTTCTTTGGGTCTCTGCGGGGTGGGTGTGGGGGAGCACCTTAAATGCTCCTCCGCCCTCTCTTCCACAGCGTCCCTGCTATTCCACGCAAGTGACCACGCACCTTCCGGCCTTTGTTATGATCATCTCTGTGCCCACGTCGTGGAACTTCAACCACAGCTCTCGCTCGTGGAGGAACACCTTGATCCCTTCCATGCCCTGCAGGAAGCGGAGACCAGTCAGACCCAGGCCCAGACAGCGAGGGACGATCAGGCTGGCTCACCCCACTGTGGAGCACCGATCTCCAAGAAAACACTGGGGGTCATTCCTTCCGACCCCAAGCCCAGTGGGCAGGAAGGCTGGCAGCCTCCAATCCGCTGGGCAGTGCGCAGGAGGGGAAGAGGAGGTTGCTGGGAAGCCGGCGGCAGCTCTGGCCCTGGCCCTGTTCTCTGGGTCTGCTCAGCCCGGGGAGTTTGGTTTGCAACAACCTCCTGATGTCCCAGCGTCCTCTCCTTCTAAGCGGCTCTCTCAGGAGGCTAAGGAGTAATTCATTTCTCCATCCTCCTCCCCCATTTTCCAGGGTGCCCGTGGGAGGAAGAGGCCAGGGGAAGCATCAGGTCTATTTCAATATTCCCTTTCGTTGAGGAGCAGGACTGTGGATGGGTGCCTCCATCTAGAGAAGGCCCACTCGGGATGGTTTTAGACAAATTCTCCAAGTGCACACGCAGATGTGCAATTACTGCTGACGTGTATATTTATTCTCCACCAGTGTGGGTGCAGATACGAAAGCCTGTGACTTTTCCAATTAAACATTTTTGTATTTGCCATAATCTGATCTCATAGCCCAGAGGGGGGTGGCAGTGGCCCGGAAGAATTCTCAATGTCCCTTCTGCAAAGCCTGCCCCCACCCACCCACCATCCATCCCAGAGCCAGCTCAGATCCCACCCAGCTGTTTTGTTTAAGGGGTGCTAGGTGAAGCCATTTAACCTTGCCACTCGCAACTAAGTTATTTTACAAAACCAATGCCAAAAAACAAAAATCATATACAAAGCGGCTACTTTGAGAGGGTGCATAAGCTTCCAATAAATGAATTTGCATTTTCCCTTTAAAAAAGAAAAACCTGATGTGTGTGACCCCAGGGTCTCCCTGCTTCCCAAGAAAGGTCACATGAGCCATGGAGCACAAATAAGACACCCGTATTGGCCAGAAAGACCATCAAATGGAAGGTATTCCTTCTATTCCAACACCTCTATGGTCAGCTATTCCCGCTGAGCACCATCTGGCACCGAGTGCCAAGAGCGTAGAAGTCCATGAGGCAGAAGCGCTGGAAGACCCCACGTTCTGTGCCGGCCCAGCACCGGGTCTGCTGAGCATGCAGCCCCTCTGTCCTCCCCGCGTGTTCCTGAGACTGGCTCGGCCAGGCCAGGCCCAACCGCAAGACAAATGGTGCTGGGCGCAGGGCTAGGCCCTGGTTTTCGGAGGCGGGTGCAGGCAGAGGCTAGGCAAGATCTAAAGAGGGGTCAAGCCATCGCTCACGGCGACCTGAAGCGGCCGCTGACCCGGCCCTTAATGAGCCGCGCAGGGATGAGTCTATACCTAGCAAATTAGCCAGGCTGTCTCTAACTAGTCTCAAATAGTCGATAATGAAGGCTGTTCTAAATAGAGATGTGCACCTTTCCCAAGCTCCCTGGCATCAGAATCATTCCTTCAACAAGGCGGATTTGTTCCTGCATGGGGAGGCTGAGCCCAGAACAGCGGGGTGAGTGGGAGTTGTCGTTTTTTTTAAAAAGAGAGCACAAGAGAGAAATGAGGCCGTGGATTTTTTCCCCCCTCTCTGGCAGGTTTCCACCAAAGGGACCCAGGTCCTGGGGCCTCTTACCTGCTGGGTGAAGGCGGCCTGTGGGGACGACGGGGACTTGCTGGGGGCCCCCAGTGCGCCCTCGGGTTTGGAATCACAGGGCAAGTCCTTTGCGTCCGGCTCCAGAGGTGTGTGGGCCAGGCCAAAGCCCTCGTCTGCGTCGGCCATAGTGCGCCCCGGGCCGGGTGCCCGCGCCGGGATCTGCTCTGAGGACAGCAAGGGCAGAAAACCGGCCAGCCGGTTGGGAGATTGTCCTTCTAGAACAGGAGGGAGCGGTCTGGCTCAGGTACTCCAGGACCAGTCCCTCCGCCCTTTGCTGCCAGTATTCTGCGGCCACTCTGCACCACGTCTGGCCAAAGCTCCGGCCGTCAGATCCCGCGGGGGCAGGCCCGCATCTCCCCTGCACCCTAAGCAGGCCCCCGCGATAAGCTCACTGCCCGTCAAATCTGTCTGGACTTTTGGAAGAGCCAATAAAGATAAGGAGTTGGTATTTTTGGAAGCCATTGGGTACGAACCAAAACCAAACCAAAACAAAACCCCAGTGTCCCTTTGAGACCTTTTTTTTTTTTTTTGGTCCAATTACACAAGGCCGAGGGGGCTGTTTGGGGGACACCTCGCTGGAGGAATCTTTTTCTGCATGGGGCAAAATGCTGGAAATGACCCGCCTCTTGCAAAAGTTAAAACCCTGGAGGGGAGAGAGGGAGGGAGGTGATGAGGAGAGCCTGGTACAAAAGAGAACCGGTGTTATCTGCATCAATGCGGTGCCTTTCGATTGCTGCCGGCCTTTATTTAAAAGGAAACGCTCTCTCCATCCCCTAACCTTAAGAGAGAAAGCTTAAAAATGAAGGTGATCGGCTAGACGGAAGGCCGGCGGGAGAAGAATGTGGCTTCGTAGCAGATCCCCAAAGACTGCCACTGGCCCCGCGCTCTGCAGCCGGCTGAGGGGCGCCTTCTCCGGGCTGCCTCCGCTCTCCAGTCTTGGGCAGGCATTTTGTGAAGTGGCCGGGCCTGGAAGAGAAGCTTCTGAGACTTTCAGCCGGGCCTGCTTCACTGGGGCTTCAGGGCCCAGGCTGAGGCTTGGCCAGACAAAATTGGCTGGAGCTCACGGTGTCCTAGCAGCCCTCAGGTTCCGAGTTGGAACCCGAAAATAGAACAGCCAGAGACATTTAAGTCCCGTGAGCCTACCTCCTGTTCTCGGATCTCCTTCCAATTTCATCCACCTTCCTAAGTAGGATTGCCCTCTTAAAAATCAAGAAGACTGAGAGGCATATGCAAAGGACACTGCCCACCCCAATATACCTTAGCAGTCCTCTAAAAGAAAGCCTGCACCCAGATACCTCCTCCATCACAGCGGCAAGAGACCCAGAAATGGGGCCCAGGCCTCCAAGAAGCTTGCTGCAACTCGACCAGCGGTTGGGATAGGGGTGATCAGAGCCCCACGGTCTGCTATCGCAACAAAAGGGCTGGGGGCTGGTGACTGGGTGCCCCACAAGCGCTTCCATTCTCTTCTGGCCCCTGGGAGGCTTCACCCCACTCTCTCTCCAGGATCCACAAGGCTCTTGCAACCGAACAAGATATAAGTGACAGCACCAGGCCCTGTGGTCTACAATCCTCCGCGCTGCTCGCCGGGACACACAAGCCTCCGCGCTCAGCTCCACGCGCCGCCCAGGACGCCTCGGGCGTCCTAAGGCTCTGCCGAGATCCGGCACCCGGATCGTCCGAGACCCGGCGGCTGGCGTCCCTCATTCGCGCCGCCAGGCACCCTCCCGAGCCTCCCGCGCCAGCTGCGGGGCGGGTTACCTCACTGGGTGACGCCGGCGCATTCACTGCGTCCACGCTCGCTCCTAGCAGGGAAGCCGGTGGTGAGGCGGGGGCGCGGGCATAGTGGCTCCCGGGTGAGGCGGGGGACGGCTGGCTCAGGCTAGTAGCTACTGCGCCCTACAAAGGAACACCCACCGCCGCTGGAGCCTCGGCGGCGACTGCCCACCTCCAACACACCTCCTCCGCGCTCGCTCTCCCTAAATACTTCCAAGTGGCCTGGCGCCAGGAGGGCTCCAAAGGACGCGCAAGCCACTGCCTCCGGACTCGCGCAACCGTAGCGTCCCGGGGCCGCCCTCCTCGCGCCGCTGGAGGGAAAGTTGGGAGAAAGGAGGAAGCAGGGCGAATGGCCGAAGGCGTTTCGGAATGCAGCGGTCAGGGTTAAAACTCTGGAATCCGAGATG